TATCATGTAGAAGAATGTACATGCTTTGGGCACGAAACGCTAGAACAGGGGTGTCAAGTGTGGGAGAAGCCGGCGGGCCACATCCAGAGATTTTTCCGACATCATTCCTATTATAAAGCGCGACATCGGGGGGACAAAAATGTTCCCCGATACCGGACATAACTTCCCGACTGGATATTTACCCTGCCCGTAGTCGTGAAAGGCCGTCGTCTTTCACGGTTTCACTCGAGAAAGGACGATAAAAGCTTTCCGAACATGCTCTACTTGGCCTCGACTCAAGCTATGAAGCGTCCCGCAAGAGAGCGTCGATTGCGCATTGGCTCATTGACTGCCTCCCGTCAATCTCACTGCCTTGACTGTCACGTGCGAGGCACTCTGTTTCGAGTTTCGCTCAAGAGATCAATCAATTCATCAACCATTGAGCAATCAATAAAATCAAGCATCAGATCTGAGCGCTTATGAGACATCAATCAATGAATCTTGATTCCTACTATCGATTCTCTCGGACCTTCCCAGGCTTAGGGACCAGCCTCTCTCTTCACAAGCTTTATAGCGACAGTTTCACTCATGAGCCTGCAAGGGCTTCCAGTTTGAAACCTAAATTCAATCCCACTTCCACTCATAAGTCTGCAACGAAGTACTTCATCGCGCAGGAGGAGTGTGTTTCATTATTCTTCTGTTCTTCATTCTCAATATTCCGCAGTTTGATTTCGATGAGGAGGAATTCGCCAATTTATCAGCGTTGTTTCATTCTTCTTCTGTTCTTCATCCTCAATATTCCGTAGTTCGATTGCGATGAACTAGGAGAAATTCGCCTATTTTTCAGCGTAGGATTTCGACTCTGTCAGAATGCAGAGCTTACAACTTGAGATATCCACGAGATGCGAGGCGTGAGGCGCAAGCGCCTGCGAAAATTCGGCGGCGAGCTTTGGAAGGCCCCCCGAAAATCTCGAGGATCATGGTCCATCTCTGGAGTGAGGCGGAAAATTCATTCAGTTGCAATCAGCTCATAGATATTCAAAAGAAGCACGCTATGATTGCGGGCCTCACCATCATTCCCGTGAAGCTGCAACGTAAAGGAAACGCCAACACCAAGGTGCTATTCAGGAGACCTGCCGAAAAGAAGTGCCACAACAGCAGAAACTTACTCATACAAAAAAGCTCAAAAGCTCCTAAGACTTTAGTCAAAAACATCGTGTACCCAATATCTTCTTGATCAAAAGCCAGAGTTTGAACTCATTATTAACAATGTTCACGAATGGATTATACCACAAACCCATGCTGACATTCTTCGTTGGTAAATATCGGCATTCGCATCGAGTTCCGTCTGAACAGCTCAAGCTTCAAAAGCATCGCACCCGGCATGCGGGATGCGGAAGCCGGGAGGGCGCGAAGCGCCCTCTCGGCTGGTTACTCTTAATTCACGTTGTTTGAGCGGAGAGCGGACAGCTGGAGGGAAACACACACGTATATGCATGATGGGTCACAATCGATTCTCGATTTTTCAGAGTCGACTCGTTCTATTCGCGATTCGAAAATTGCAAGGACATTATCCTATGGAATTCCCGAGAATCGGCCGCGGGCCATGAAAAAACTCTTCGTGGGCCACTAGTGGCCCGCGGGCCATCTCTTTGACACCCCTGCGCTAGAAGAAACGGTCCGAGAACTTAAAGACCACAAGGACGATACGTAGAAAATTCTTAGAAACCCACTCTTCTCTCCTCTCAACGAATAAAACGCCATATATATATGGTATCTGTGAACTCGGCACGGCGCCTCGTCCCGCGAGACGGTTTCTTGATTTTCAACCGGACGGAAACTTTCACCGAAAAAGATGGAGCCCGAGCTCTTCAACGGAGTACTATCTGGCAACTCTACGTCCTCTGGTATCAGAAAAGCTGCCTTCCCCCCGAAAAAAAATCCCGAAATCGCATCTCAGGTAAGTTTCTTTTCGCATAGAATTCGGTATGCGTCGCCTGAGCTGATTCTCCTGATATAGAGCGTAAATCTACAGGTATGGAGAAACGAGGGATCCTTCCCTCGACTGACCTCTTGGAAGTTCCGATCCCTTAACTATCATAGAGGACTTCATCCCCGCAGTCCGTCGCATCGCAGATTTCAGTAGAGCTCCGTGTGCCGCAAGGCTCCCCTCCGTCGGATCATTAGCAAGAATGTAGGTACGACAAGCACTTAGGGTAGAATTAATGGGCGACTAATATGGAAATCAGATCCCAACTCAGGCAAATAATGATTCGCTTGCTCGCTGTCAACCCGCCGTCCTGTGGTCCTGCCTGCCGACCCAACTGACTGAATGACTAGCTCACCAGCTTGCTCCTTGTTGTCGCCATCTGCCATCATCACGTTGCCGGACTCGTTTACAAATGGCGGGAAGCCGAGCAATCCACTCTGTTCGGTGCTTTCTCGTACCTAGCTATCGCTGCTCTTCTGTGCCCCCAATTTCGTACGCGCACTAGATCCACCGGTGGGCTGGTCTGCGGCGCAGAGTTCCTCGTAATTCAGCTGATTTCTGACCGAAGAGTGAGCGGTGTACTCCACTAACTTCCGTTTGAGATTGTCCACTTTGCAGCTCGACACGTGACCGCATCGAGCGGGAGGAAACGGCGGGGAACAACCTCACTTTACTCACTGACTCACTCAGTCATCAAATAACCTCATCAAGGATATGCTTCTCACCTTAGGTGTGGTTTCCGGAAATTTCGCCCCCTCGCTGCTGAGCCATAACGCCTGCATGCACAGGAATAGCAGTCCAGAGAGTCCACGGAGCGGCGACGGCTAAGCAAGAGCGGCTCAGAGTTCCCGGTATAAAGTCTGGAGACATGCGAAATGATTTTTCCCAGTCGTCTGTCATGTGGTTCAGCGAAAAAGCACAGCGATCCACTCGATGGGCTCGGCCTTGCAATAGGGGGCAATTCAGAATTTCGGAATGAAGCTCAGGCTGCTCGACGAGCGCGAGATTCGAGAAATAATTCCGTCTTCCGTCCACGGCCCGCGTAAAACCCATGACAGCGGTAACAAGGCGGAGCGCTATGCAAGATGTTGAGGTTCATGAGTAATGTTTTGCGAACGGTATACTCTATCTGCGTAAACGCGGACGCGTGAATCAGCCCACACAAAGTCGATTACACCCAAGGGGCCACTGAAGGAGGTTATTAGGGTCAAATGGCGTACGAGCGAACCCTCCAGCTCACTAGCTGGTGCTAGCTAGTGAGCAAGGAATGACGCTTGAGAACGTTCTCAAGAGGCTCTTAACTCCATCGTGCAAGCTGGGGAAAGCGGTGAAATAAAGTGATGAATGTTTGCTTTCCGTCTTATGGTCTTTCTGTTCTCCTTTCCCTCCGACTGCTGTCGACCGAGCTCTCTGTGACGCAGTGGCTCGATACCTCACGAGTGATCCAGGATAATTCTTCCAGCGAGTACACTGAATCCCCGAGGCCTTCCGGATTCTTGAACCTCAGACTCCTCATTGCGTTCGCGACCAGGATCTCGAAGCGGGGAGCCTCTCGCGAGACTCCTTGGATGCAGGTTCCTGCGCGCTGCGATAACAACATGGATCGTTAGCATCGCCGGGACCGATATCGGCACCTCAATCCTCACGTAGTCGGCGTAGGCAACTGGCGAAAATGAAGCACGTAACTATCTCCACCGCTCTGACTATAGCTGATCGGGACGCATCGGTACCCAGGGACCCCGCTCGATGCTGATGTGGGTTTTCATCTCGTCGGATGTGGACCCGGCTGGCCGTTGGCTGCCCATACTTTCCTCCTCGCGATTATTTTTCGCATTCTCCTATGGTATTAAAAACTTTTTCAATCGACGATCGAGACCTTCTAAGTCACTGATCAACTACTTCTTTGGGACTTTGAGACAACCTCTCACAACCAGCCAGATTTGTTGCGGCGGCTTTCGGCCACCGCCTATTTCAATTCTCGTGCCACGCTCGGCTCCTCGTAGGAGGGATCGAAGAGGCTTCTCCGTATCTCGAAAAATCTGAAGTCTTCCTCCAAGACGGAAGGAAGTCAACAGAGGAATCGACCAGTGCGGTGCTGAGCAAAGGATGGTACTTCGAGAAAGATCCGCCTAGGTTCCTGGGGAAATTGCCAGCGGTCGCGCTTCGGTCAACCTGTAGCCAATTACATTACTGAAGCTATCAAGACAAATCGTTCCGCGAGCCCAAACAGAGAGTCGTCGGTCCCTCAGTCCGCTCGTTTGTTCGATTTGTCCCTCCAAGCGTCCGTTCGTCCTTCTCCCGATTCTCGTCCGGTGCAGAAGACGAAAGAACATAAATAAGCTAAGGGGAGGAGTGGGAAGGGCGACGGGGCCGACAGCGGCGGAGACGCGGTAGAAAGATCCAGCGGGAGAGACATACCGGGGGGACGAGGGGGAGGGTCGAGGGGCAGGGCAAGAAAACGGGGTACTGTTAGCGAACGACGACGAGAGAGGCAACTGTGTGAGAAGGAAACGGACGGGCTGGGAGGGGGGACAGCGAGAATCAATACATCTAAATTTAATTTCCCCTAAAGCGGCATATAATGTCGTTAGACTCCACCCCCGTGGCTCAGACTCCGCCCCAACTCCGCCCACTCTCTCTATCCAGGGGGACACGGAGCTCTGAGGGAACAGAGCCGAACAACTAACCCTAAACGATCCAAACACGATTGATACATGACGACTCGCGGTGAGACTCGTTCCATACAGCAGCCTTGAAGGATCGGGCAAAGCGCTCGGACCTCGATCACTTCACAGACGGTCCACGGAGATGAACCTTTAATCGGACGTCTCTACGGCCCTCCACGGCGAAGGACAAGTGCGACGACTCCGTAGTGGGGGATCGTTGGAATCGGCTTCGCGAAGAAAGCGGTGTTCCTCCGAGTAGAGGACTCAAGTTCCGAATTTTTTGCTCAAAATCCTGCCCCGGCAACAAACGAGCGGACGTGCCTTGTCATCGCCTCCCAGGAACCCGTGCTTGGAGTTCCAACGCAATGATGCCCACTGAAGGGCCTACCTCGGATCCAACGTCACAAGTCAATTCGACGCAGATGGCCAAATCAACGTTTTCGATAGACTCGCTTTTGCGCTCGCGGCCCACGCTGGAACGCGAAAGTCCTTCGCCCTCGAGATCGACCTCACCGTCAACGTCAAGTCCATCGAGTTCACAGCAGATGGCTCGGTTGCTCAGTGCCTTCCCAAACTATCCGGGTCTCCTCAGTGCTGTCGCCGCCTATCAACCGTCTCCACTCGGTCCTGCATTTCATCCGGCGCACATAGATCCGCTAACGAAAAATCCCGTTAACCTGGAGTGGCTGGCTCGTTCCGCAGGACTCTACCAGCGGCCCGATGGTGAGTTCGCAACTTCTTCCTTGTTCATCAGTCGACCCCCCCCATGGGACGTGAACAGACGGACTTTCCCCTTTCTGTCGAATCTCGTGAGCTATAATTTCCGAAGAGGTTCGAACCCTTCTCTGGGCGCCCGCTGAGAGCGCTTAGCATCGTCACGGATGATTTCCTGCGTGGAGGTGACGAGACGGAAAAAGAATGCGCCGCGTAGCCCCTCTGGAAAAACGGCGATTAAGGGGGAATCCCATTCGAAGATTGATGTTCTCCTCCCCAGCTGTGGTTAAATAGTTCTATTAAAAACGTTCATGAGAGACGAGAAAAATTATCGCGGATGAAAAAATGGGCTATCCATCCCGACGGCGACCCACGCGGACAACAATAGTCTCATGTTAAATGTATCGACGCGGTGTGCCTGCTCGCTGCGCCCCGCTCAGAGATCCACGAGGATCCGGAGAGGAATTCTCAGATCTAGCATTCGATGCACAGAAGCCTATCGATTGAGACGGTGACCGTCTACCCCTTCGAATCTGCGCTCGATGTCGAGCCGCAAGCGGTACAGGTTGAGGAAAAGCTTGAGTCTCCAATAGAGCAGGGTCCGCTCATTTATTCGGGCTTCTGATAAACCCAGCGAACTATATATCTCTGACTGCACTCATCGGGAAGAGTAGCGAAAGATCAGCGAGCGGTGAGATTCTCCCGATGCGAGTTCCGCTAGAGGGCTAGTACTCCACCGTAGACGTTCCAAAGTTCGCTCTACCATGTAGAGATTCGCATTCAGAGAACGCCGACTCCGTCCGAAATAGAGACTCCTTGGAGCCACGTCAAACCAAGACGAAGCTTCATGCATTCGGTAACTGCGGCTGCTTGATATTTGCCCGGCGAGAATGCAAAATTCCGAAATCGCTCCAAGTGAGAACGGGCCGGCTATCGTGTACGCCAATGTGATGAATGCGAATCCGCTTGTGATATGCTCGACGTCAGTAGCGAGGGTGAATTCTCCCACCGTCTACACCCATCGAGGCCCATTGAAGTCTGTCTCTCCGATCGGGCATTCGCTACTTGTATATCCACATCAAGAGCTCAAAAACTCCGGGAAGCCCGAGACTCTGTGGATGGGTGTGGAAACCCCTCAGAATTTCAATCTTGCTCTTGGGGGAAGGTAGGCTGCTCCGCTCAGGATCCTAGAACACCGATGGTCAGCGGAGTGGGACTCCGACTCGACCCGCTTCTTCATTCTAGATTTCATCTGGTTCGACGAGTCGTCTAATTCTCACTTGTGAGCTGATCACCGGCCCGAATATTCTTCTCTCCGGCTTGGCAGTGGTCAGACCATTATGCTGATCGACATTCTGTCGCAGACTCCCTCATCCAAACTCAATGGGAACACAATATTTCATGTGCCGTAGTCAGCGGCTTCTCTCGCCGATTTCGGATCAGGACGAGGTTTCCCCTTTTGCTTCCAAACGCGCTCGGAATGCCATTGATCTAAATCTGCTGTCCGGAATGTTCGCCTGGCATCTCCTCACCCTATTTCCCCTCCATGCTGGCAATCCTGGTGTCGTGAGGGGGCATCCCAAGAAAAGCTCAAGGGAAGGGATCCGCGGATCCGTGTCTGGATATTTGAGACTGGAAGAATCTCATTCATGGTGTTCCTTCCCTGTATTCAAGCGCGTACGCTATAGTCGGGATGAAATAGATAGTAATCGAGGACTGATTCATGAAGGAGAAAATTGACAGCTGACGAGGCCAGAGATATTTTTATTGGTAAGGTTTGGCATTCATCTCTCGCGAGAAAGAGTTTCCTTGATGTTTCTCGTTTGCTCTATTTGTCGTCTCTATGTCCGTAGACCTATAACAACCCTTCCCGAAGAATAGGCCGAATCTCTCAACCGGAGATCTTCAACCAGAAATGCCTCGCTGAAGTTCTGGAATGATGCTAATAGCTCCGCTTTGGGCTGCAGCTCGGACGGACTGATCGAAGATGAATAGCGCGTATCTTCTATAATACATTAGTCTCACAACGTCTTCCATCGGGGTCGGAGATCCCGAGGACTCCGTATCTCCATGTATCGCCAAAGGATGATCAGTGATCAACAGTAGAAGTTCGCGTTTGAAACCGCTCACGGGCGTCATTCATTGACACACAGCTGTCGAAACACCTGTGATTATTCCATCGGACTGACCTCTGAGGTTTTGAGGAATTTCAACGAGCAAGTCGATGAAGGCGATTGCTACCCGCATAGGTATCCCGTGGCGCGAAACTCCGTTGTATTGAGCTTCCGAGACAGGAATTCCCTCCACCGAAAGACCCGAGGAATCGAGGGAACGGGATGGAGGGATTTTCTCAGAGGAACCGCTCCCTTTAATTCGCTGAGGAATCCTGCGACAGCGCAGGGGAAGACACGGAATCGATGGAACCGTTCGCAGAATGTTTCGTGGTCATCGTGAGCTTCCAGTGCGCTATTTTACGGCATGCGTGCTTCACGGGATTCTCATCTGCACGGAGTTCTCGTTCAGCAGGATAGAACTCCCGACTCTTATCCCTCATCGCTCGCAACTTCAACATGTTCCAACCGGTCTAAGTTTTGAGCACCCAAGGACGGGTAGTTGGTCTCGGCTCGAGGGCCAACGCCGGCTTCACTTTCCGCATGGGGCTCCTGCTATGGACGCACCCTAATCAGACGGAAGGAAGAAGAGCTGACACAACCTCGCGGAGCTGCGAGCCAGAGTTCATTTCTCACACTACGTGAGTCTGATCTGCTGAGCTTTGCTTTGCCAATCAGCTGGCGAAGTTGTTTCGGGAAGTCAGCGTTTACCAATCCTCTCGTGTCAAATTTGAGCGCCGAGCTTGTTGGCTGGTTGCACTTCTCCCAAACAAAATGTCAATTCAGCTTGCGAAGCTTTCCAGTAAGCAAATTGTCGCCTCTTTTAGCGACCATGACGACAACATGGGAGGGTGTGTACTCATGCCCTTCCCCCTCGGGACGAGCGGGGCGCCTTGGGCTTGTTTCCCCTCACGAGGGGGGAGCGCGCACTTCAATTGGCCACCGAATCCGTCAGGAAAACCCCCGTTACGACGCTCTCACAAGATTGAGATGAAAATAATGCGAAAAATATTCGGCCACGATGAGTCCCGGAAAGTAGAGGAGCCGGAACGAGAAGATCTGGATCGGCATAGGAAAAAATGATGCAGAATAATCCTTCTTTTGAGGGTTTTCTTTCGCCGGAACAGTTCGTTGGAGTTTCCTACCCAGTTGAGCTCTTCGTCCTGCCGGCACTGAACAATCTGCTCTTGACGAGCCGTGTACAATTATTCCCTTCGTGCGTCAGATTGTTTGCGTTCCAGTCAAAGTGAGGCCTGGCGGAGCGTGTTCTTCGTTCCCTTCATCGTCGCTATCGTCTCAATGGTCTTCCGCTATTCCCACAAGCGTTCGCACCTGCCATGCAATCCAATTTGCAGCTAGATCGCATGGAGCGTTGGTAATTTCATTCGCGGACGGGGATTCGGAAACGAACGAGCTTGCGGGCGGGCGGGTGAACGGGCGAGCGAGCGAGTAAGCGAGGGAACAGAGATCGACATAAGGATTCAGACACTCTCTTGCGAGCTAAGCCAACCAACATATTGGCCGGAGCTCTCGACGCATCAAAGCGATGGATTAAGTCTCAACCACTGAGGGGTGTAAGTGCCGAGTCAGTGAGCGAGGGGAGAGAGGGGGCTACCTGTGAAGCTGTTAAAGAGATCTAGATTTATCCTTATGTCACGCGAGCGGCTGCAATTAAGGCGAGTACCTGTTCACAGCTCTGACAGATCATCGCCTACCCACCACGCTGAGACTTCTGTTCGCCAGGAAAATCCTTACCCGGGTCTCGCTTCTCGAGATCGAAATTTCGAATTTCCGCGGGGAGAAGCCCGATCGGTTCTGTGGGGAAAACCTACGCCCTGAAAATCTGATTCTGCGGGAAAAACTGATTCTATTCTCTCGCTACTTTTCGGAGCCCTCCGAGTTTTCATCTTCCGTCTGGGATGCGAAGGTCCGAGCGTCTTCGATTTCTCCGAGTATCGAGGCTCAGCGTGATACGCAGAATAATTGATAGAGAGGGAGAGACGGATCCAGAGGGAGAGCGGAGGCGAAAGTCGTTTGTGAAAAGTGCGATAATTTGTCTGTCGCAATTGAGTGAATCTTCCCCCTGGTGCGTCCCTTCGTTTGCTCGCTCGCTCGCTCGTATGAAGCTTATTTAGAAGTCACTTGGCACAGGTCCCTTCGGAAGAGAGGAGGGTAGTGAGGACGCAAATCGGGGGGAAATGGAGCGAGAGAGAGACAGACCGGGCGGCCGTCCGGCCATCTGTTAACCTAATTGCCACATGCAACGAAGACAGTGAATGGAGAGAGACGACGACGGGGGGACCGAATGTAAATATGCTATAAAGAGCGGACGCAGCCGATTACTCACCTTTCTCACTCGAACGGGCTCGAAGCACTGTGCAGGCGACCCTCTCATTGGCTTCGTTTCAGTCAAATCAGACCGGGCGTAGTCACGGCGTGCCGCTGCAGCGGAGAAGCGTTTCGGACTATCTACTCGATTCCGTTTCGTTCAAACCTGTAATCGGTCGATAGACTCGCTGTTGGAGACGGCCCGCTAAACGTGTTGGAAATAGGCTGGATCCGGTGTCACGGGGGAACGATCTTGCCGATGTTCGGGAGTGGATATTCGACAAGAACAGAGACACGCCCTCGCGAAGGCAAGTCGGGTGAGCCAACAAGACGGGCTGGCATCTTGCCTCGCTCACTCGGGGAAAATCTTCTCCAATGCAAATGAAGTCTGACTGATTGACTGGCTTCTCCCCCATACCGAACTGTTGGCAAGTCCCGGAGCGAGCCGGCGCCAGGAAGAGTCGAATGATATCAGTCGTCCGCGACGAGGAAAACTGGGAGGAAACGAAATTCCGTCCGAGGTAACGCGTGGGCACGGCTCGAACAGTGGGTTCATTTATCGGATTATCT